GGGGGATTGCAGTACCAGAAAATGTAAGTGATTAAGCCAGATTGAACCTCTCGAATAAAACTTTCTATTTGATGTCAAGTCAAATGCACTTATGAAAAGGAGGGTAAACATGTACACTATCAGGGATTCTACATTTTTCATTCCATATTGGAATTACCAGAGCAGAGGTTTTCCACGCACTGACAGTGACATTCATATGCAAACACTTCACATGGTATAAATACACTTGAAGACACAAAAAAAAACAAAAAACTTACTTTCTTCCGTTTGGCGGGACTCATAAGCGAGCTTGTTCTTCTCGTCTGCTCTCCTCTCCTCTGCTGCAAGAATAGTATCCTCCACTGTAGATATTATGCATTCTCGTTCAGGTTTTCGGTGAAGAATTAAAAATGCTTTATCCTCTTCGTTTTCCATGATATCTAGAGCATTGCATAAAGCAATGTTGAATAACACGTCGATTATTGCCGTAAAATCAGTCTCCAAATTCTCTTGAACCAGCGATCGACGGGTAGTATCTTTTGATACGCGCCTCCACTCCTCATAAACATGTAAACATTTTTGAAAACATGCACACTATGTATCACAGGGATTCTACATTTTTCATTCCATATTGGAATTAACAGAGCAGATGTTTTCCACGTACTGCCATTGACATTCTTATGCAAACACTTCACATGATAGAAAAACACTTGGAGAACTTCCCGAATTTAGGGCAATTTTCTTTCATCAAATTTTTCTTCAACTTTCAGATTAAATTTACACTAATCGCATTTGATCGCGTAAAGGGCTTACTATTCGACAACATCGCACATATCTTTTTAATTATTTAGTCAAATATCAGTGGTTTCCGGTACCTCCGGTCGGTGAGAATTTTGTGTTTTGACGATCAACTGGTATGTTGACAATAATAGTTTTTATTTCCCGGAGATTTTCGGGGCTGTTCTGTAGTTACGGCAAATTTTCTCCACTTACGCTCCTAATCGTACAAACTACACATGTATTTGTCACTCTTTCATCACTTCCTTGTAGAGCTCATATTTCCTCATCTATATTGAAAATGTATAATGCATTTTCATTATGGATAGAAAATGTGGATGCTTTTCCACCGGATATCCCCCTCCCACCCCACCGTCCGTTCCTCTACGCCGGTGTAATGCGGCGATGCGCAACCCTGCCCTGCGCGCGCGCTCAGCGGCCGGCCGGCCGCGGCGCGCCCCGCGGGCCCATAGCCTCACGTCGTCATTGGGCAGTTTGTGACCTCACGCTTCAAGATACGCCAAAACGGACAAAATTTCCGCCCAGAGAACTGTAACTTGCAATTTTCCTTCAGAACTGATATGTCGCTTGCCAAAATTTTTGAATTTTGGGTTTAGGCCCTTTAGGCCCTTTGAGGCATGGGTTAAAATTTTTTTAGAATTTTTTTTCCTTTTAGGGGGTTCATTTAGAGACTACAAAGAAACTTTTTAGGGGTCGACCGACTTGATTTTCGCAAAACTCAAAAATAAGGTACACCCTACCGAGAGGCTGCCTTCCCTGGAAAACTAATGATGTAGCCGGAAATGTTATTAAAGCAAATCGGTTCCGTTTGAAGCATCAAATGTATACTAGGGGAAAGCTATTTTAAAATAATAATTATAAATGGACACAGATGCTACAGAAAATAAAAAATGAAAGGGAAAGGAAATGAAATGAGGATATGATTACTTACGCAATCAGAGAGAATAAAACAAAAACATCAGAGAAATTTACATGCAATGAAAGTAAAAGAAAAAACACAAGTGGGCTCATTGCGATTCGGAACTCGAAGTATACTATCGTAGGAGCAGTTTTTTGACCCTTACGCCACCGATAATCTCCTTAAGAAGTAAAGATGAACTTTTGCTACTTCAGCAAGTCAAATTGCGGAAGGAGATCCACGGATTGTCACTTTCCTCCACCCGATGGGACTGACCTCCCAGTCAAAGGCGATTTAAAAGAAATGATCGATCCCCATCATTGCTTCATCTCCGCATATCTATTCATGTGCAGGAGATGGCACGCTCCGGCAACAAGGTTCTGTGACAAAATCATTTTTGTCTCCCGAGTCTCCAAAGTTTATACATCATAGTGATCAAATGCCCAATCATTCAGAAAAATGGCTCGCGGAGCGAGCCGAATGTCACTCGCGTGGTGAGTGATCGGGGGTTTGGACGCGCGAAGTGCGTCCAGAACGGCTAGTAAAATTTTGAAATTTAAAAACTGTCAGTTTTAATGGACAAACTGGTATTTTATTAAAAATTCAAAACAGGAAGTAAACATAGCAGTTGTAACGCTTTTAAATATGTATCGAACTTTTCAGGTTTTACCTCGGTGGCCATCGTCAATGACTCTGCGGACAACCGTGCATGCAGCTTCCCAACAACGGGGTACACTTACATTTGTTGATTGATATAGCTCCTTCCTCATACTCAGCTCTCATAGGTGATTGGACAGCTTTCCTGCAGTTCTTCCGTGGTTCCAAAAAGTAAATAGTAGTCACAATTGCAATGCATTTGCAGAGTCGAAAAGAACTTCTGCACTCCGCTCTCTGCCACTTCTAATTATTATTGGAAATTCAATGCCCTTATTTCCTTTCTCTTTTAAATTATGATCCTTTTATCATAATATGAAAAATGCGCACTGGGGTGTAGTACATAAAGCTGTCGTAAGGCAGCGCTGGCGAGGCCGGTGTGGCCAGCTGGACTCAGCCAGTGTGTGCGGGGACTGAGGTACTCGCTTGGTATTCGTTGAGATGTTAACTGTGTGTAATCGTCATGTATTCGTTAACAGTGTGTAGCCGTTTTTGTATTCGAGTCGTAAACGTTGATTTGTCCCTTGTATGTTGAATAAAAGTATTCGTCTTAAACGACTCTTTCATTCTTAAGACACCTCAATTGGCGACGAGGATAAAAACCGCGAGTGATTGCCGAATTCGAATGCCATTTTCGAGTTCCTCCGTCGAGGAGAAAGACGCAGCATTACGCTGTTTCCAGCGACTTTACGGGATACCAGCATCTCCTCCAAAACCTTTACCACCCTACAAGAAGAAGAAAAACCCAAATCACCCGACGACAAGTGATACAACGTCTCATGAAGTGCTAAATATAATCAGTGATATCGCGAATAGTGCACAATCGGGCTCCATTCCTCGTGAGAAAATGCCTAACGTTTTTGGTGTAACCGACCTCAGATTTGAACTCATTGACGAATGGCAAATGTTTATTGAAAGGCTTGAACTAATGTTTATCTCACAAAATGTAGAAAAAGACAAACAAGTTCCGGAGCTGCTAACGCGAGTGAGTGCGGAAACGTATTCAATTATTCGTGACCTATCAATCCCACAGAAACCTAGTGAGCTTAAATTTGACAAATTAGTCAAATTAGTTGAAAAACATTTAGAACCACCGTCATCAGAACTTGCAAGGCGTCATAAATTCGTAACGGTTGAGCAAAATACAAATGAAAGCCTTAGTGATTTCATTGCGCGGCTGAAAAAAAGCGTCACGTGATTGTAATTTCAGTGATCTTAGCATGGCTCTACGCGATCAATTCGATCATGGTCTTATCAATCATAAAACAAGGGTCGAGCTGTTCCGTAAAGATAAGTTAACATTCGCCGAAGCAGTGAAGATAGCAGAAGATTGGGAATCAGCTGTGATAAATGCTAAAAGTGCTGACAAGTACAGCGACAAGGAGATAACCGGAAACAGTTCAACGTCCGCGGAGGCCGAAGTCAACTACGCGTCCTCTTCCAGAAGGAAATTCCAAGGCAATCGAAACTCCAACTCCTATCGCGACGACAATCGCTCCAACCAAGCTTATCAACAACGCGGCAGAGGGCATCGTCAACGGAGGAACTTTCACAACGACTCATCCAGGGATCGCACAACGCTCGCAATCAGCAACGTCGAGATCACGACACCCGGCATGGGAACCAGTTCTCAAGCGACTCATTGCGACCAACCTCTTATCAACAGTCAAACTCGAAAATTATTTGTTATTGTTGTAATGAACCAAATCATTTAGCCAAATTTTGTTTGTTTAGGTTTAATACTTGTAAATATTGTAAACGAAAAGGGCATATGGAAAAAGTGTGTCGAAAGAAAAGTAATGTTAACATGATCGAGAATATTCAAAATAACTCAGGAGAAATAAGCGAATCTTCTGATTGTGATTTTTTCTTCATAAAAGAAACAAGTGTGAAGTTTCTGGAAGACAGTAAACCTATGTTCCTACAAATTAAAATTGGTAATTCAAAACTTGATATGGAAATTGATACAGGTACGTTTGCTTCTATTATTTCAGAGAAAACTAAAAATAAATTATTTCCCAATTTTGAAATGCATCCTCCAGATACCAATTTGATGAGTTATATTGAAGACAAAATGAAATGCCTTGGCATGCTACCCAATGTTAAAATAGAATTCAATAGCAAAGAATATAACCTAAAATTGTATGTTATGCCTGGTACAGGGGTCAGCCTTATTGGAAGACAATGGTTGTCAAAAGTTAATTTATGGCCACTGAAACTGACTAATTCACAGGAGCAGACGGTTAACGATTTAACAACTAATTCCATAGAAGAACATTTCAAATTTACGTTTCCTACTTTCTTCTCCAATTCACCTGATGATTTTAATGGTCGAAAAATAAAGTTAATATTTAAGGAAAATACAACACCAGTGCAATTAAAACCTTATAGAGTTCCACTTTCGCTAACAGAAAAAGTTAAAATAGAAATCGATCGTTTATTAAAATTAGGATTTATAGAACCTGTAACAGCAAGTATGTGGGCGACACCAATCATTCCTGTTCTCAAATCAGATGGTTCTGTTTCGTATTTGTGGAAATTTTAAATTAACTGTAAACCCATTCTTAGTTATCAAACGACAGCCAATACCTACAAAACAAGGTTTTTTTGCCAAATTACAAATTGGGAAGAAATGGTCTCAAATTGATCTTACAAAGTCATGCCTTTATGCACACTGAACTACCAGAGGGAATTTCGTCTTCACCGGGTGAATGCCAAGAAACATTGTATAATTTAGTTAAACATATACCTCACACCACGGTCTATATCGATATTTACTGTACTGGTAAAACCGATGATGAACATCTGTCAATTATTGAGCAAATATTAAAAGCATTAGATGACGCCAATTTAAGAGATAACTGGAAAAAATGTGATTTATTTAAAAGTAGTTTAGATTTGTCCTGAACCAGGAAGGTCTACATCCCTCTCCAAGTAGAGTTGAAGCAATGCAGAAAATGGAAGCCCCTACTACACTCAAAGGTATAAGATCTTTATTAGGTATAATTAATTATTATGAAGAATTTCTTTCTCATAGAACAGAAAATTCGAAACCATTAAATGACGTAATGAAATCAGAAAAATTCTATTGGGATAATAATTGTGAAAAAGCTTTCGAATGGATAAAATCAGAGATTACGAACAACATTCTTCATTTGTATGATCCAAAAAAAACTATAGTGTTGGCCTATGATGCAAGCTATTATGGTCTATTAGCAATACTCTCTCAAAAAGACACTAATAATGTAGAAAAGCCTATTGCATTTGGCTCAAAGAAAATTCCAGAAGCTGAGCTGCACAGAGCAATTTTAGACGAAGAAGCTGCAGCAATAGTATTCGGTTTTAAAAAGTATGATCAATTTTTATATGGTAATTTTTGTATATTAAAAACAGACCACGAACCTTTAAAATTCATTTTTGGTGTTCATAAAGCTAAATCGCTTACTCTACAAAACAGGTTGCAACGCTAATCTTACTTTCTCTCTAGTTTTTACTACAAAATTGAAATTGTAAAATCAAAACAAAATGGTAATTGCGATACACTTTCGCACTTTCCTATCACAGATAACACACCTGTCTTTGATACAGATTTTTCAGTGATTAGGTATATTGAAAAAGAAACTCAACTTATAAATTGTAAAGTAATAGCTACCGAAACTAAGGAAGATCCACTTTTAAGTCAAATTATTAAATATGTTGTTTTTCGATGGCCAACTAGTAGTGATAAAATGGATCAAGTGGAGACAAGTTTTTATCAGAACCGTTACCAACTAAGTATTGAAAATAATGTATTATTATGGGGTATCAGAATTGTGATTCCTGAGTCTCTTCAAAATTCACTGTTAGAACAAGTACATGAATCTCACTTTGGAATTGTTAGAATGAAGCAAGTTGCACGATCTTTTTTCTGGTGGCCAAATATCGATTTAGACATAGACAATTTTGTAAATTCCTGCAATATTTATCTTGAGAAGCGTAAAGATCTACCTAAAACTAGTTCAATTAAATGGCCTTCTCTGTCCTTACCATGGGAAAGAATACATGATTTATGTGGTCCATTGCATAATGATAAGTAATTAATAGTAATTGATGCACATACAAAATGGCCAGAAATTGCTAATATGAACAATAACACTAAATCTGACAATGTCATTGAATTTCTTAAAACCTTGTTTGCCAGATTTGGGTTGTCTAAACATTTAGTTACAGATAATGGTCCACAGTTCACTAGTGAAGAAATGCAAGATTTTTGTAGAACCAGTAATATTAAACACTTTTTCTCTCCACCCTATCATCCTGCGACAAATGGTGGTGCAGAAAATTTTGTTAACACCTTCAAAAGTAAAGTAACTAAAATTATCAAATCGGGCAGGATGCACACAGTGCAGTGCAACTTTTTCTATTCGACTATAGAGCTACTGAGCAAGCGACCACTGGTAAAACACCAGCTAAATTAATATTTAACAGAGAGCTGTTTACTCGCTTTAAAATACTGAGAGTTGAACCAGTTACAATGGAAACTGAGGAAAAGCCGGAAGTTACGATAGTTAGAGAATTTCAACCCAATGAACAAGTGTGTGTCAATGAATATGCAAACAATAAATGCACCAAAGTTGTGGGTAAAGTTTTAGATAAACTTTCTCCAGTTACTTACAATATTCTCATTAATGATGATGTAGTTATAAGACATGTTGATCAAATTATTAGAAGCGATGTTCGTAAATCCAATAGGCAACGAGTAAAGAAAAAAAAATATAACAATAACGACTGGGGAAATTGACCAAAATCACATTGTTCATTATTTTATCAAAAAACAAAAGTGCTGTAGTGAATCAATTTTTTTTAACGTATTTTTGAAATTGTGTACATTGTTTTTGTTAAGGGGGTATTGGGGTGTAGTACATAAAGCTGTCGTAAGGCAGCGCTGGCGAGGCCGGTGTGGCCAGCTGGACTCAGCCAGTGTGTGCGGGGACTGAGGTGCTCGCTTGGTATTCGTTAAGATGTTAACGGTGTGTAATCGTCATGAATTCGTTAACAGTGAGTAGCCGTTTTTGTATTCGAGTCGTAAACGTTGATTTGTCCCTAGTATGTTGAATGAAAGTATTCGTCTCATAAAATCTGTCATTTTTAAGACAACTCACGCAAAAAATTCGTGCCAGGAATTTCTCCCTGCGCGACGCGCTGCGCGGGTCCACCGGCTGCTCACCGCAACAGTAGCCTCCCTCCCCCTCCCGGTGCCGCACAGTACGGCACTCTGTGGGCACCAATCGAAGTGAGGGATATTTTTTTCTTTCTTTTAAAGCACAATTTAACTTGATGTTCATAAGAAGGGACCCTCTTTTAGGGAGGAATGACGGGTCATTGAAGTATTTCATTCTCAGATCGCGAGAAATAAGCGTGAAAAGTTTATGGAAAAATGCCGGCCATGAAATTCCCCATTGAAAACATATGGGGGGGGGGGGCTTTCCCATTTAAAAATACTTTTCTCGAGAAATACACAAAATATTCAGAGGTATTAACAATTTCTTATTCTTAAGGTATTCTACATAGGTTGTCCCAAAAGTACTGCACGTTTAGTTTTTTTGGACGAACGGTGGCAGATATCAAAATGCGGTTTGTGTAGTCTTAAAGACCGAGCAATTACCTACTGATAAAACAAGACAAATCCCAGCTCTCTAAGTCAAAAAATGACCAAGATACGGTGTTTTGAAAATGACTTGTAGAGGTGTTCCCTACAGGATTTTTAGCTTCTATTCTGGAAAAAAACAAAGAATTAAAGATTCAAGTGGTTTTATTAAATCAATTTTACAGAATCCTACCAAGATTACAATCATTTACTCTTCTTCATTGGATGACTGAACACTAGTTTCCTTCTTAAAATACCTTCCATCACTTGCCACACAGCGCCGCAACCGTTCTTCCCACTTCTTCAAACATGTTTTTTCGAATTCTTCTTGCCGGATGTTCATTGAGAAAGTTTCAACAGCTCTTTTAATCTAGTTGATGGAGTTAAACTTCCTGCCTCTTCAGCCCTTTTACAACGTAGGGAATAACCAAAAATCGCAGGGTGCGAGGTCCGGGCTGATACCATGTTGCCAACTTCATTCGGTCGCGACGATTTCTCTGTAAAATTTTTGATTAATCAAATCTTTGTTTTTTTCCAGAAAAGAAGCTAAAAATCCTGTAGGGGTCTCCTCTACAAGTCATTTTCAAAACACTGTCACCTGGTCATTTTTTGACTTAGAGAGCTCGGATTTGTCTTGTTTTATTGGTAATTGCTCGGTCTTTAAGACTAACTAAACCGCATTTTGATATCTGCTACTATTCGTCCAAAAAAAAAAACAATCTAATCTTTGTTTTTTTCCAGAAAAGAAGCTAAAAATCCTGTGGGGGTCACCTCTACAAGTCATTTTCAAAACACTGTAACCTGGTCATTTTTTGACTTACAATTAGCGAGCTCGGATTTGTCTTGTTTTATCGGTAATTCCTCGGTTTTTAAGATTACACAACCCGCATTTTCATATCTGCTATCGTTCGTCCACGAAAAAAAAACACGCAGTACTTTTGGGACAACGTATGTACGTGGACCGTGTAAAGGAATTTTTCCATGTTGCTGCTACTTTCATTGTTATAAGAAGTTAAAGTTGAGGGGGGGGGGGGTTAACGTTATGCTTTTACATTGTTAACGTAGGGCTGATTCGAGGTTGCCAACTTCAAATTGAATTATCTCGAGAAATACGCAAAATACTATGAGATATTAACATTTTCTTCTTCCTTAGGTATCCCTCTTTGATTGAACCAAAGGATTTTCCCATGTCGTTGCTACTCCGTTTGGTTTTCAACGTAAAATGCATCGATTTTTGAACGCGGCGTCACGGTACAGGAATATGGGATTTTCCATTAGGGAATTCTCAAAGAGGCTGTCCCATTTTCCATAGGATTCCATAGGAAATGGCCGCAAGAGATTTTCCATCCATACTTTCAGGAATCATAACGGATAATCGGAGAGGCCTAAATTCGGTGGCCTATTCCGT